AAAAAAAAAAAAAAAACTCTTCTACAAACCTTGACCAATGCCCCTCGGGCAACCATACAAGCAGAGAGCTCGGGGCAGTCAGATTTGTGTTTGTTCCAGTCCAAATAAGTAAATACATCACCATTTCCAATAACTTGAAGGCTAGAAGGTGCTGCGCGTGCACACTGATAGATGTAATCCCAGTCAGCAAGTTTGCTGTACCGTTGTTGACGTGTCCGGCCATGTACTGTTACTGCACTAGCTCCCCAGTTTCCCATATCATGAATCAAAGAATCAATTCGGTTTTTGCCCTCAAAATAACCAGTTCGTACCTGGACAAGCAAAAAATAACTATGGATACTGCAGAGAAGAAGCAACCTCAAATGTTTACCATTCCATAATTGGTCGACAAAACAGTCTAAGAAGCAAAACAGGCAACAATTATTACTTGAAAAATGCAGCCTATACACATCCATGGACCATTTTAACCTAGCAGCTAGCAAGGTAATTACGGATAACAATTTCACCTCATGCTACAAAACGAAATAGATCATGAGGCTTCAATGCTCTAACACAAGAATTAGAAATTTATTATATATATATATATATATATATATATATATATAGAGAGAGAGAGAGAGAGAGAGAGGGAGGGACCTTGAGAGTCACTGGAACGTCCACTGCTCTAGAAGAGGCTTCTACAACACTTTTCATCCTCATCGGTTTTGTAAGGAGAGCAGAGCCAGCACCCTTGTTGACAACGATATCAATTGGACACCCCATGTTGATATCAATAAAATCAACTGTGCAGTGCTGCTCTATAAGTTCAACTGTTCTTGCAACAGTGTCAGGAAATGCACCACAGATCTGGACACCAAAGAAATCCTCTGATGAATGGCGCCTTAAGAGTGCCCATTCCGAAGCTTGACCCTGAACAGAAATCCAAATAGCAGTGAGATAATGGTGATTTCACCTCAGTGAGCCTTAAATTACTATGTCAACAGAGAATAGAGCTTGTTCACTTGTTATGTAGCATTTTTTGGAGTAGTTCAGCAAAAATAATGGCTCGTAAATTGCCGACATTAACCCAAGACAACAATTGTGTAACACTGATGGCATTGTCCCCTCTCTCAATACTCAATAACAAACTATATTACCACAAATATACACATAGATTATAAATATAAATAACTATTATAAATATAAATAACTTTTGTGAACCTGCAAGAGATTGGTGCACATTGCCATCTCACCACATGTGACATCAGCGCCTAGAATCTTACAGACATGGCGATATGGTAGATTTCCCACTGTTGTGAGAGGAGCAAGATAAATCTTATCTCGGAAGTCGATGAGTTTCTTTTCCCTAGGGTGTAGCTTTAAGCATTTATCATTGTCTTCCCCAATATTTTCGTTAATGGATTCTGGTTCATTCTGTTTGCAGCTTTGGTCCGTGTCCTTCTCTTCGGGAACTGAATCTTCCATAACAGACCAAATGACACGAATTAATTCCAACAGCAAGCTGAAAAATGGATCACGCATCAACAGACAACAAGTAGATAACTAACCATCATCAAGAGGAGCATTTCCAATTTCATCAATCGAGCATTTTGTTTTTTTAGGAGGCCTAATTTTTTCAGCTGCATCTGCTTCATCCAATTTGTCCTCACAACATTTTCCATCAGCATCACCAGAGCCATTGGAAACATCATTGTCTTTGTCCCCCATCTTTTTATTCTTTCCCTGCCCCTGCAAGCCCATATCAACGTAAACCAAATGCCAATAAGAGAGGTTTGAAGGGTTGAACATAGAAGGGGCGACCCTTCCATATTCATCAAGATGAGATATAATCCAATGAACAGTAAAAGGTATTGTTCTTGCCACAAGCCCAAGAATCTTGAGTGCAGCATCTGCCTTGGGGAATTTCATCTTGTTCTTCCATAAAACCTTCTGAACTTCCTTTTTCAACCCATTCATTTCTCCTCTCCTGTTATCTTCACCATTTGCATTGCTAGCAACCTCACCATTATCATCCTTATGTGTGCCCGCAAATCTACAAGCCAGACCATAAGGACACGGCCCCTCAATACTTGCAAATGGGCAGATGCCCTCTAAATCATCCGGTTTCTGTATTTAACAAAATGATGACACGTCACAATGACAACAAAACTAAACTAACACGTTTACTCAGTTGAAACCAGTCAGGTAGAACAAAGAATGAAAACAATATATGAGGTTTGAGGTCGAAAATTTGCTTCTTAGGTTTGATACCAGTTCCACTGTTTACCAGTTTACCTGAGCTTTGAATGCTTCCAGATCATGACTATAGCGGCATTTCTCGTTATACTGACATGAGCTAACATCCCCACTTTTTGCTACCGTTGGACATATATGCAGTGCGGATTTCTGTTCCTATAATATATTGAAACGAACAGTATCACAGGTTATCTCGTCATATGAATAGTGAACTGCAATTCAAGTAAGTTCCAATGTGCATTGCAAAAGGTGAAGAAAACAGACAGAAAAAGGAACAAGTATAATAGAACTTCAAACCAACCTGAAGCCTCTCGCGCTTCAGTTGGCGTTTAGATTTTTTCTCCTTGAGAATCGGAGCGTCGTTCGCGGCGGCAGATTTTCCATCGGCTTTGCCGGTCTCGCTTCTATCGTCGCAGGACCTGACGGGCGGCGGGCGGAGGAAAGCTCTTTTCACCGGAGCTATGGCTTTGGCCACTAGCTCCTCCGCGCTCGCTGGCGCCGGAGCTGGACACGGGGCATCGACGGCGGATGAACCATTGGAAGCATTATCAAGGGCTATGTGGTCTGCCATTGGGTTGGGGTTTGGTTTGGCCACTCGCAGGCGGGACCTAAGAAGTAGGGTTTTGGAGGCGTGGTAAATGGCGGTTAAAGTGCGAGATGGCAGAGTAACTGTACAAACTGATGTTGAAATGACGCCGTCTTTAAAGGACACTACACTATTGGAAACTGATGTTGAAATGTCGCTGTTAAATTAAACAAGTCTGACTCGGTTCAGCTCGTAAAGCTAGAATTCGGCTCGGCTCATTTCATAAATGAGCTGAGGTCGAGCTCATTTAAAGCTCGTTAGGTTAACGAGTCAAGTTCGGCTCGGCTTGATAAGTTTCGAAAAAGAAATTTTTATATAATTTTCTATAATTCGACTCATGATGAGTGTTAAACGAGCCGAGCTCAATTTCAGGCTCGTTTATTTAACGAGTCGAGCTCAGCTCGTTTACAACCCTAGTCGTAGTGGTGATAAATCGATCTCAACTCGTTCATTTATTTAAAGGAGTTCGAGTTTTTAACAAGAGCTCGAGCACTCTAAGCTCGAATTCGGCTCGGCTCGGCCCGTTTACAACCTAGTGGTGATAAATCGATCTCAACTCGTTCTTTTATTTAAAGGAGTTAGAGTTTTAGCAACTGATCCACCATTTTTATGAAACAAATTGTTTCGAGTCGAGGACATCCGAGCTTGTTCAGCAACAATTTCATTTCATTTTTTTTATTTGAAAACAATCTGTTTAAATGCCCAAAAGCCATCAAAACTTAGAAAATTGCACCAATCAGTTGGGACGGTCTGTATGCTAAAACTAGAAACTTCAAGTCTTGGTGGAATCTGTATGCTGAAACTAGAAACTTCAGAAGATAGAATCCAACTCTCAACATATCTTCTATGGTGGCTATGGAAGACTATGAATCTCTGGGTATTCCAAAAATTGAAAAGAAAAGGGAAAGACGTTGATGTTGCCATAGCAGATTGGCTCGAGTTTAGGGATTTTTCTTAACTGCTTCTGCTAGTTGTTAGGCCTTTTGATGTAGTTCGTTGTAAATAGCTTTTGGATAGGCTGCTAGGTCCCTTATGGTTCAGTGGTAGTCTATCTTTTGTAGTGCTTCTCATGTTCGTCTGAGCAAGCCTAGGGTTATCTTTGTTGTATTCGGGTACTAAGCGTAGCCCTAGCCAGAAACAGTCTAGGCACCCCTGTTTTTGTGTAGTTTTGATTAATCTAGGACACCCCTGTGTGTTCCTCCATTCTCCCTCATGGGATTCCTCCATTCTCCCTCATGGGATGATGATGATTGTATGGCTATTTAGCCTGTCCTATTTGTTAATATCCGAGCTATAAAATTTGTTGTTTCGTTAAAATAATTTTATTCGCAAACAATTTGGGTAGAATTTTGAATTCATTAAACTTTTCGAGTCTAACTAGGCTTAAGCAAATCAAACTCGATTTAAATCATTCATCAATTAATTGAGTTGTGAACTTGAACTAAACTATTAGACTCATCTCGAATAACACCCTATTCCATAGGCATGTTCAGTTTATACAGTGTCGGAGGCCTAGTAAAATGATAACTTTGTGAAACTTGAAAGAGTTGGCTATTTTAGTTCCAATTAGAGCCGATGAATGAAATGAGCGGCTAGTGAGCTCGGCTCGTTGAGGCACAAGTTTAACTCCTCTCATTTATATGAGTTCACTTGAAGCCCTTTTCATTAACGAGCCGGACTCGGCACGACACGGCTCGATAAAGGCTCGCTAAGTATCAAAAAAAGACAATCTTTTATATAATTTTATATAGTATAGCTCGTTAAAGCTTTACGGTTCGTTAACAATTGAACTCAACTATTTAAAATTGATAACCAGCTTTGCTCGAATCTTTTTCAGCCCTATATGATTCTCCAAA